CAGTATGTCAACATCTGTTTGGTGGACGGTAAGAAGCGTACCCCAGGGTCAATACCAGGGCTGGCATTGTTCAGTATCTTTATCAGTGACGTGGATGATGATACAGAATGCAGCCACAGTAAATTTGAAGATGATACTAAATTACAGGTGAGTTGCTGACATGTCAGACGGTAACTTTCTTGGAGGCATCTTCAGAAACTTAGGATTTGGCCAACAGAAATCTCATGAAGTTTAACAAGAAGTGCAGATTTCCGCATCTTGAGTAGAATAACCTCAGGCTTCAGGATAGGCTGGGAGTTGACTGACTGAGTAAGCCTGAAAAGAAAAAACTGGAAAGAATGTGGAAGTTGCAGTGGATGTCAGGTTAAGTGTGAGCCAATGGTGCGCTTATTGCAAACAGGGCAAACTGCATACTGGCCTACATTAGGAGAAGCATAGCCAGCAGACTGGGGGAACTTATTATCCCTGTGTTCTTAGTGTCAGTGAGGCCACGCTTGGAATACTGTGTCCAGTTTTGGGGTCTACAGTTCAAGATTGCATTGAGAAATGGGAAAGGAAGGTAGCAGAGGGCTACCGAGATGGCCAGGGACACAGAGCGCACATCTTATCAGGAGAGATTGAGAGAGCTGGGGCTTGTTCAGTCTGGAGAAGAGGAGGCTAAGGGATGATCTAATAGCAGATTACAACTACTTGAAGGTCAGTTACAAAGAAAATGGAGCCAAACTTTTTTTTGGCAGTGACAGATGGTTTAACAAGGGGCAATGGCCACAAATATGTAGCTTGGGAAGGTCACACTGGACATTAGGAAGAACTGCTTCAGTAGGAGGATAGTACTGGATAGAGGTAACTCAGAGAAGGGTAACCTTAGGGACATTCAACATTTGGCTAGGTAAAATCACAGCTGACCTGATCTAGTGTTGGTGACAGTCCAGCTTTGAGTGGAAGGTTGGGACTAGATCCAGGGGTCCCTTCCAACCAACGTTTCTGTTGCGACTCAGATTCTAGCCAGTGGCATTATCAAAATCTCATCTAAATGATGTTAAACACAGCTAAATTAAAAGTTTGTTCATTAGCCGCTAGGAAGGAAGATATACCCCCTCAGTTGGCCAGTTTTCTCATGGTGAGCTCTTAAACAACAGGGCATGCTACACGGCTACACATTCATATTGCTTTCCTCTCCTGCTATCCCAACGGCAAACATAATGTTTCTGTGACGCCCCTTTAACAGGAGAAAGGACAGAATGTTGGAACCAATGGTTTTGTGGCAGATGGAGTGACATTTGCAATTGCGAAAAAACACTCGTATGCTGCCAAAATATTAACAAGGGGCTTCCTCAGAAATATTCTACCGCAGTCATTGATACATGTAAATTCCCCATGTAAACATTACTTCCTCCAAGGGAAGAGGTATCATTCCAGCACACTTTCCCAGGATAAAGGCCTCTCTGCACCTTTCTTTTTTTGCTCCTGCAAAAACCCTTCACTTTGACTCACAGATTTCCAGCGTTGCAACACCTTATGGATGTTACTCTTGGTAACTCCAGTGAGAGACCACAGTGAGTGATACTGATTTGGGGCAGGCTGTCCAACAATCTCTGACTCGGCTATGGTTGATCAGGTGACAGGCTTGGCAGCAATGTCACATTATGAAATCTAACAGGGAATGGGTTTTCTTTGGTTTTTGAGTAGAATATACTTTCCTTTGTGAGAGGGCAATGCTTCTTACACTGCAAGAAAAACAACAAGAATTTCCTGACCTTTCTTTCTACCACCTACTATTTTGCATAGCTTTATAATGCTTTTTATTAAGTTCCTTTTAAAAGTAAACCCTCCTATTCCTTTCAAATTCAGCATATATGCAACATCAAAGCATTTCTGTGAAATTCTTCATTCCATTTATGTGCCAGCTCTCTGGTGATAGAGCCAGACATGTTATGGTAGTACTGCAAGCAGTAAAGATGTCCAGCTTCTTTATAACTGCTGCAGTTCTCATCGCCGTACGTGGCAACCATTGTGGAAACTGATCCTCAAATATCAAAAAACTTTTCTGTGATGACTGATTTTTGTGAAGAGTGTACATGGGCCCAATGTGCTTTTTTTCCTAAAGAGAAAAGATAGCCAGTGAACGTCCATGTACTAAGAAAGAACTTAGTTTTATTTTCAACTCCAAACTTTTCTACATGTTGTAAAGAATGCTGAGTAACTCTATTTTCAGGATGAGTTTATAATAGAGAGAAATAGTCTGATATATTTTAGATTAGTCTAGAAACTCTTCCCTAAGAAAACAGGTTGGCACTGCGTAGTGCTCTAATTCATGCCAAAGAAAACTTTTTTCCCCAGTATTGCCCGTTGGGTCCAGTTCTCCACCAAACATATTTTTAAGAATTGTTTGCTAAACTGAGAGTTATCCGGTGCAGTGGAGATGATGCTTCTGAGAATTTAGATTAGTCTCCCCCTGTCAGTTGTGGAATTAAGAAGGCATGAAGATGGTCGGAATCATAGTGATACCCTAACCATTGCTCTGAAATGGAAACATAGCATGTATCTGTATTTTCATTCTCCAGCTTGAGACATACCTTTACAAAGTCAGTTTCTGATGACATGTTTTGGCAAATGATGCCTTATCTACATGTTTTTTTCATGTACCATCCTGAATAATGGTAACCTGAATGCCATAACCAGAAAGCTATGTTAAGTGAACGTTTTTAAGTTAGTGCAGTCCAACACACATGCTTCAAAATGATCAGCCTCATAATGTCTGCTTACCTGTTTGAAAAGCCAGCGATGTTCAGTCTCTTTCAGAGGACTCATGTAACTTTTTTGTAACTACAAGGATCTCCAAACATGACAATCTTAGCCTCATGAATATTATATATTTCTCTTGCCTAAAAAATAAAAAACCACTAAGTATATGAACTGGTACTGCAAATACAAGCAGAAGTAGAAAAGATTTCTAATGTTACCGGACTCCTCCTCCCACTAGATCTCAGCAGTCAGCAAAAATACTTATTCAATATTAAATTACAGGTAAGAATTGTTGACCCTGGTGTATCTGAGAGCTATGATAAAGTCAAGTCAATGGAGTTTGCCTCAGCTTGCAATACTTCAAATAAGGCCTCTAATTTTGTTTGGATGATAAAAATGATCCAGTCAAAAGTCTACAGAAAATATTTATTAAAAAGAAAGCACAGAACATCTATACGAGTTTCTCCATAGCGATTTTTATCGTAAAGCTTACAGCCGAGCCTGCATTATTTGTTTCTAATTCAGGCTTCACTCTAGTGTTGTGTTCCCAAAGCTAAGCCACTTAATGCAAAGTGCGTTACACATTTCTCTTTAATTAAATTGCTCCAAATCGTATTACATAACCTGTTCCACTATAAAACAAGAGTCTCTCAAAGATGCCGGGCAAAATCCAGGTGCCCCTGAAGTCACTACTAAAATTCTGGTTGACTTCACTGGGGCCAGGATTTTGCTCTGAAGTTTTTTCTTATATGTGGGTAATAAAAAATTATCCCGTTACCTACATATTGAATTAGTAGGTGCATTATTCCAATATGCTTATATTTTAATGAATTCCACACAATCATTCATTATGTCTGTTACTAGATAAAAATAAGTATTACTTTGGAGTTGAGTAACGTCTCGTTTCAAATAAGTTTGTAATTGCTGGAATATGCAACCGATTCAGGTTTAGATGAGCTTCTAGCCTGTGGACTGAAGCTGGCAAACGCTCTCAGCAACGGCAATTTTGTCACAGAACTGCACCCCAGAACCGCCTGGACAAAGCTCTGGGAGAAGTACTTACCACTAGCATTTAGGGAGCCTCTTGACCGCACAAGTTCAGCGCTAAGCTGCAGGTGAACAGCGCACGAAAGCAGCACGCAAACTAAGAAAATGTTAAATAATCTTCACCATCGTTAGGCTGAGATCTCGGCTGAACGATTTGCCTTGCTGGGTTACGGGCTATTCGTCGCCCACGTGGGGCGCACGCGGAAGCGGGCAGGGGTTAGGCGAGCGCTGCCTTTTCGTGCCCCCCG